CTAAACAAATACAATACATCACATGACAATCACATGAGAGGATCACATACAAATGTAAAGATCTGACTCTATCTGCTTCACTACATGCAATTCCTAATAATAAAAATAAAAATAAAAATAAAAATAAAATAATAAATATTAATTGATAATAATAAATTACTTTTAACATGTTATCAAATATGTATCTTTGGTTAGGATTACGGACGCAGTTATAAACTTCTTGAGGTGACAAATCAATTAAACCTTTACCAATAAAACTGAGAAAAAAGAAAAGAACTAAAATATTTCATGTACAAGTATACATACATGCATATATGGAAATGTATACGTGTACATGCGCCTCTTACCTATGAAAAGGTGATTCGCTGACTTTCTTTTTCTTTAAAATGACAACATCTTTCTCAATACCTTGAAACCTAATAACACACAATACATATACAGTACATGTACATGTAATGACACGTCCATTGTCACTCACTTCCATCCATTGGATTGATCTCTGTATGTCACTGGATTCATCAGGTCCAATTCACTAATGTGGAACATCTACACAAAACAACACACAAATATATTATTATATCTATTTCCCAACTGAAGCGAGTGTTTCCCACAGGATTTTAGCTTATAGTGCTCATGGAGCTTCTTGTCAGTGGATTGTCAAAGTTGCTCAAAAACTGACTGTAGTGCAACTACAGTCACGAGCCAATTTTTGTCAAGATGAGAATTTTCCCCTTTTATAAATTTTCCTGATGCATGTAGATGTCCTTATGCTATACAGAAAGCTTCAGCCGATTCCCGACTAAAACTACGTGTACATGTGCATTTACATGTACATATACATGTGCATCTATACTCACCTCCTCTAGTAGTCTGGCTGCATTCTGATTGCCCATTGTACGGAAATCAATCCCCTCCTCAGTCCCTATTAATAATAATAATAATTAACAAATACTATAACATGAGTGTATATACTTGGGTAGTCAATAAGAGCACTAGTAATAGTACTGGTAGTAATACTGGTATTAACCTA